CTTTGTGGATGCTGATTTTGCTGGTGATAGGGACCATAGAAAGTCCACTTCTGCCTATATGTTCACACTTTGTGGCACCTGTGAGTTGGAAGTCTCAATTACAGCCTATAGTTGCCTTATCAACCACAGAAGCCGAGTATGTAGCTGCCACAGAAGCTGTGAAGGAAGCTTTGTGGCTTAAGGGACTATTATCTGAAATTAGGATGCTAAATGAACCTGTAATTGTTTATTCAGATAGCCAAAGTGCAATACACTTGTGTAAGAATCCTGTTTTTCATGAAAGAACCAAACACATAGATGTAAAGTTACATTTTATTAGAGATGTTGCCTCAAATGAATGTGTTCTTCTTGAAAAAATTCCTACACAGTACAATCCATCAGACATGGGGACAAAGGTACAACTTGGTGTCAATAGGAGGGCTGCAAGTGCTCAGAAATCCCATTGGCATCAAGGTGGAGGTTGTTGGGCTGTGATGACCAATGACCTTTTCTTTTTCTGGGCTGTGATGACAAATGGGCTAAAAGCCCAATAACTGTTTTTTAACAATTTAGGCTCTTGCCCAATAACATGACCCGATCCGCCCCGGCCCAATGGTAGATAAAACGTGTTTTTTGGGCGTGGCATATTTAAATGCAGCCAAACACGCCTTATTCAGTTATATGGATGCCTCCTGACCGTCGGATTGAAACTTGATCTAAGGGTGCCTTTGTTGGATATAAATACTTGGCCCCTTTTGCCCTAATTCACTCGAACCGTCATTTTTCTCTTCTCTCCAGCTGCGGCTGAGGTTCGAGAGTCTTCCAAACCCTCTCTTCTTCTTCGTGAGAATCCAATCTCTGATTGGATCTGGTTTCTGTGTGATTCCATCTTTATGTTCCTTAATACTGTGTGTATTGGAGAGTTTGGTGTGTGATTTTACCCCTTGTGGTTTCCTTTAACTGATAAAGGAAAAGCTTAGGGTTTGGGACGATCGGTGTGGGTCATACAGAAGGGTACAATCCTGTATTTTCTTGAGTCTGAGCCCTATTCATGAAAGGAACTTCATCTTGATGTCGTGTGGTTTGAGTTCTCGATGAAGACTGGAGGATTTAATTTTCTGCCTCTTTTTCTTGTAACCTTTCTTGTTCATTATTTTGTGATTTTGTACTGATAGATTGTTGTAACAAGTTTTTTTCAGTTTTACTTTTACGATGACCTTGTCAGCGCAACCAAATTGTAGCAAACATGGAAGTTGCCGAACTATTTTAAAACAAACAATAACATTTTGTCACGTCATGTTCTGCTATCTCAAAATTTCATCAAGTTAAAATGCAAGCCAGGTTTCCCAGTGTTCGACTAATAGAGAAATGGAGAGATTAACCAAGTTTGAAAAAACGTAGAAGTTCAATGACTAGTTTGACACAAACAAATTCCTTGATCCATCTAAAAATGTCTTTATAATTCCAGTCACCATCGATAATTTTCACCCCTTAGGGGATTCAAGTTTGGGTCCCAGTTGCCTATTCATTTTTTTTTTTTTGGCCCATTTCACCTCTGGGGAACTTCTTATATTCATTTTCAACAAACTACTCACCATAGATATATTATTCTGAAAATACAGGACATTAAACAAGAACAAATTACAAATGTGCTTAGGTAATTCCATTTCAACAATAAAAGCAAAAGTATATGGAAAATATCTTGAAGTCATGAACATGAATATTCTTGTAAGTTAACGAGGATCTAAATCACTCATTGAGAATGACTGAGTAGAATTACCCGATCTATTCCTTGATGATTTTGCAGTCTCTGACGATCTTGAATTGTGTTCTTGAAGAAGTGAATTTTTTGGATCAAAGCTGCGAGACATTAAAAATGTAGGTTGTGAAGGTATTGAAAGAGTTATAGAGGAGCTCGTGACCATGAGAACTATTGCTGCCATTGTAGGCCTGTCAGATGCATTTTCTTGAACACATAACAAACCAATATGAACACATCTAATAATGTCGGGCAAAGATCCAGCGGAAGTCCTTAGTGCCGGATCTATTATATTTGTAGCTGTTCCTTCATGCCAATTTTTCCAAACCTATGAGAATTTGACACATTTCTTGAATTACAATATTCAACATTGTCATTGTTTTCAATTTGGCAAAAAAAACTAATAATGATAAAATACTCATTTGTACTTACACAGCTTAGGAGGTCCATATCATTCTCCCCACACTGGAAATTACTAATTTTTTGACCAGTTATGATTTCCAGAACTAGGACGCCAAAGCTGAAGACATCAGATTTACTAGAGAATTTTCCCGCGATTGCGTACTCAGGTGCCATGTATCCACTGCAATAGTTAGTTTATAGGTATATATTAATGACCAATCAGATGTATAAGAATCTATGTATATCTAATCTGAAACATGACCTATAATATTTTTCCCCAGCATTTCTTTATTTCTTTCTATACAAAACATCCACTTGTTAAAATAAGATAAAACAATAATTTGAGACAATATAGTTTTGTTTAAATCTTACTAGGTTCCTACAACCCTGCTGGTATTGCTTTGGGTTTCATCTTTGTCAAATAACCTTGCCATGCCAAAATCTGATATTTTGGGGTTCATCTCTCCATCTAACAAGACATTGCTAGCTTTGAGATCACGGTGAATAATTCGGAGTCGAGAGTCTTCATGCAAATAGAGAACTCCCCTAGCAACACCCCCTATGATTTTGTAGCGTGTGTCCCAATTCAAATATTGACGCTTGGTTGGATCTACAAGTCCAGTTGGGCACATGACATTGTGAGAGATCAAATGAGGACCATTTCATTTAAGATGGAGATGGATAGCAATTACACGTGTAACCAGGTTGTTGTAAGAAATATGATTTACTTCAAATAGAATGTTACCAAATAAGAAGCGGTCAAGACTTCCATTCTCGAGAAATTCATATATAAGAAGCCGCTCGCTTCCTTCTAAAGAGAAACCTAAGATCCTAACTAGATTTCTGTGTTGAAGCCTCGCCACTAACAAGATCTCATTCTTAAATTCGAGATCACCTTGTGTCGAATTCATGGACAACCTTTTCACTGCTATTTCTTGCCTGTTTGGAAGTTTTCCCTGAAATTAAATTATAACAAGTAAAAATTACTTGAATCTCCTCTCCATCAATGAATAGTTTGGATAAATACCAATAGTCTAAAAGGGAAATGTTACTTTGTCACATATCAACTAATATATATTGCAACAATAATAATTACCCTGAAAACAATGCCAAATCCACCTTTTCCGAGGACGTTAGCATCAGAGAAATTGTCTGTTGCAGCTCTAATTGTGCCAAAATCATAGTATAAGGATTCAGCAGTACTGATTTCATGGTCAGCTTGAACACGCATAGAAGTAACAAAGAATGTTTCAGCCAATTGTAAGTTAAAGAAAATGAAGGTAGAGATTGACATACGTAAAAATAGATATCTAAAAATTAAACATACTTTCCTGTTGTTCTTGTGGTTTACTCTTTCTTCTCATTCTTAGGACTATGCCAATGCAAAGACCAAGTATTAGGACCACAACAATTGAACCAATAATAATGATGATGGTTCGAGTTGTATTATCATCATTTCCTACAAAATTTTGAATAAAACTCTGTTTAATATTATCATTAATAAGCTTAGTGCTTAAAGTAATACTTTTGCAACTCAAACCAAAATTGGAGTCAAAGGATTTTCTCACCTGGTGGTGCCAGTATTTGTGGTTTTGGTACCAATGCTGGCGGTGTTGGTGACTGGAGTACTGGATAGACCATGGTTTCATTGTAGAAAGGATCCGTTTCGAGTCGAAGATAGCAACTAGGCCTAAGGATTCTGACTCCTCTTGCCCCGTTACAGCACCGTCGAATCTCCAAGGCAGACTGGTTTAAGCAATCATCACAATCCTTTGGGGTAATATCAGGTGTGCACTGCTCAAATGCATAAATTGTTCGATAATCCGGGTAATCCCGACTTGCAGCAGCAAATTTCTTGGATGATCTATTAGAAGCAGTCTGATTACGAACACTATCCAATAATATGTTCACCTCCCGGTAAAACTCGTCTTCATGCGGGACATTTTCCATGCTATGACCCCATTCGAATGGGGAGTACGAAACATGTCCCAAGATTGCCTCATTGGAGTATCGTACCATGCAAAATTCGTGCCATAAAATTGCCTGTTTTTGGAAAGGGCACTTTTTTAAGATTTCAGCCGTAGCATTTTTTACATAATCACGACATTGATAAGGCTGAAGATCTGCCCTACATAGCGCAACCGTGTTAACTCTGCCGGAATTTTCTCCGAGAGAGGCGTTGTAGAATCCATTGGCGCTGATATTCGGCGAGACAGAGGAGAGGAGTGTATCAAGGTTTGTCTGGTACTTGCTATTACTCGTATAACTACCATTATTTTGACATTTAAAATGAAAATAAATTGGAGTTGGGAACTGGGATTTGACAATAGCAACAAGATTAACCAGACAGACAAGGATAATTAAATTAGGAAGCCATTTCCGAGAACTCATGACTGTATACATAGTTCTGTCTATCTCAAATGTAAATGAAGAATACTTACTGCTCCATAGCCTATATTGAGAAGAAGGGCCGCAGCAGCCAGCAGGTACATAAATCCCCAACATTCATCTTTTCCACAAGATTTTTCTTCTCCCACTATACGAACCACATATTTCGTTACTGATAATAGGCCCGTCTTCTAGAAAGTAACTTTTGAAAATCCAAAATGAGCAACTTAAAAATAAATTAACTTAATTTTAAACCTGGCAAAACATGGAGGATATACATGGAAATGACCCAAACATAATATAACCTTTTCCAAAATGACCCTTGACTTTTTTGAAAATTTGAAACTACCCAAAATATCCTTGGAAAAATTTAACAACCAACCCTTTATATAATAAAAAGTTTCTTTTTTAGTCCTTA